TTTTTAACGCAAAAGTAACGCGTTGCGAAATTCCGAAAAACGCCTTTTCAAACGAATAGATAAAAGAAAAACGCGTTTAAACGACAAAAAGAAACGCGTTGGTTTTGAAACCTTTAACGCGTTTTTTTGGTCGTTAAAAACGAAAAAAAAACGCGTTTTTTTGTCAATTTTTTTACCCCTGGGCATTCTCTATGATGCTTGATCTCTAAGCTTTTATTTCACTTTAGACAGCATTAATCAATTGAAATTACTCAATTTTAATAATTTGGAAAATATATCAACATTGCGAGAATTAATTCGTGTTTGGTCACAAATATGTCGAGAGTTACAGGAGAAAAATGATCAATTTCAAGAGCAACTTCAATTAAATCAAGATGACAAACAAACAATGTTTAATGCTTATTACAGTCTGTGTAATTACATACAACATATCAAAGAGAAATTAATCAATGTTAAACATGACACTGTTTAAAATGAGTTGACATATGACCAGTTTGAATCGACAATTCAATTGAATGAGACGGTGAATAGATTGAAATATGAACACCAACAATTAAAAGAGGATATCATCAAACAGACACCCATTCATCAACAACAACAGCCACAACCAGTGATTCCTTCTGGTAAGTTTAACATCATACGACTCTTGAATGATTATACTTCAACGATTTTCAATCATATTTACCTGATGTCGTGTTTAATTTTCTTCTTATATCTCTACTTAGATATGAATGATTTTGTTCTTACATCAATACCAAAACCTAATTTATTAGACACTTCAATTCAAACCGATTCAATTGAAGATATACAACAAAGTCTAATGAATTTTTCGATTTTGTTAAGGATGTTATGCAGTTTTCAGACTACGAGGATACAACTCTATACGTATTAAAATAAAAAAAATCTTTCTCAAATATCTCACAATAATTACAATTCAACCTAAGTAGGCGTATCCTACCATCTTCATCACTATACTGCTGTCTAATACCTTTTCGCCTCAAAAACAACAATAAAATGATATCGCATAGGATTACCTTCTTTTACATGTCTCTGATGACTAGGTATGTTACAAACCCAAACCCAAACCCAAGCGACTTGGGTGTATTGGGTTTGGGTTTGGGTACCCAAGTCTGAGACTTGGGTTTGGGTATTGGGTACCCAAGTCTGAGACTTGGGTTTGGGTCAGTTGCCAAA